GCAGGATTTTGTCCATCAGCCGTTAGTCAAGTAGTACAGTGGGTTTAGGGTTTAGAGCACAGCACGTAATAGCACAGAAGTACTAAGGACAGTAGGAGGGTAAGAGGGAGAGCTGTTTAGGGGCTTATTAGAGGTCCCCAAACATCTCGAAACCACGGCCCGATTAATCCAAGATAACTAGTAAACGTACATACGCTTCATTTTTGAAGGCTTTTTCAAGCTTTAGGGTTTAGGCCTTTCCTTCATCCTACACTACCCCCCCAACAATCGACGGCCTGCTACAATGTTTTTTTCTCCGGTCTCGCGTTATCATCTAACTACTCAGTTAATATTGACCACTAGCAGCCGCAAGCAGTAAGGAGAAAGCAAACGAACAACATCCGCCGCATAAAAACAAGCCATGCACTATTATGCCCACAAATGAACAAGCCGCCGGGAAAACGCCTGAGGGACGGTATCTTAAGGATCTGGTTTTGAGGATTCCACACTTCATGGTTGACTTGTTTGTAAGGTTGGGGGTTTGGAGTTTAAGCTCCTTTCTTATTTCTCCTTCGGGAGCATTCTCGAAAGGTTTGCCATAGCCCATGAAGGACAAGTAGACCTCTGTAGAACCCACACCGTCCCTAACTAATACCCACCCCGCCGGTGCACCCCAAACAAAAGCACCCTAAACTCTACTCCTTAAACCCCAACTTAAACACTGTAGCAACTAGTGTAGAAGCTAGCAACGCAGATATAAATATAGGGGCCTTAAGAATTAGAATAGGGTTGTGGGGTCCATTATGCTATAGAGTACCCCCCCAAAGTAGTATTGGTAATTATTTAGGCCCCTATATTGCCATGATGCTGGCAGTTCATGGCTTCGACAGTGAAACCTCAAAGCCCCCAAAACACAGCAGCCTGAAAGATTTAGCATGGTTGTACCCCAAACTATATTAGGCAACATGAAGCCGCAGTCAACCCCAAAACATAGCAACCTGAAGACTTAGGCTGGAGTTTGGGGTTCTAGACCGCATAAACCCCTGCGAAGCTATCCCGTGCCCTTTATACAACCCACAAGGCCCTGTTCAGCCCCTATACACCCTCAAAACGCACAACAAAACCAAACCCAACTCTAAACCCTAAGCCCAGCACCGCAGCCCCATCCCTAAACCCTAAACCCAAAGCCCTACACCCCAGCCTAAACCCAAAACCCTGGGCCCTAAACCCGAAGCCCTAAACCCGATGTCCTTCTTCTTGGGGTGCGCTGTGCCTTTGACCTCCAACCCGGTTTTGAGCACCTGGACCTTTCAGCAGCAAGGGTTTCGGACCCAGTCTCAGGGTTTAGCGTTTTTAGTTTCTTGTTAGGGTTTGCGATTTCGGGTGCTTTCTTTTTAGGCTTTGGGGTTTAGGGTTGGGATTTGGGGCTTTAACAACGCAGTTTCGACCTGTGCTCAATCTGCACCTAGAGAGCCAAGCAAGGCTGAAGGTTCAGGGCTTAGGGGTTTAGGGTTTAGGGGTTTAGGGTTTAGGGTTTAGGGGTGGAAGGCTTTGGGCTTTCAACAAACTAAACCTAAACCCTAAGCCCTAAACCCCTAAACCCCCAAACCCTGAGCCCCTGAACCCTAAACCCCCAAACCCTTAAACCCTAGACCTGGACTTGTATGCCATTCTTTTGAGGATCAGGACTTGCTTAGCTGGGGCTTTCAAGTAAAGTATGGTAGATCCCAAAACCCTCTTCAAATTCTCAAGGCCCCTTTTCTCAACCTGTATACACGCCCTGGTCCAATTCCTTTCGACCCCCGGCCAAGGGCCTTGGCAACGAAGCCCAGTGAGGTGTTTTCACTGTCATACTTCAGCAACTCTGGCGCCGGCTGTCGCCACCTATGTTGAAGATTTAGGATTGGTGGTTTAGGATTTAAGGATTTCGGGTTTAGGATTCAGGGTTAAGAATTTGGGTCTGGAGTTCAGGTTTTGGAGCTTAAGATTTAGGGTCTTGTAGCGGCTCTTAACAACTACAAGTTTTACAGTGAACCCCAAGCAGTTGCACAGAAAAGTCGGCCAAATCTTCGCCCAAGTCGGCACCCTGGATCCATTGGTCTTTAGGACTTAGGGCTTAAGGCTTAGGGTTTAGGGTTTAGGGTTTAGGGTTTAGGGGTTAAGTGGTTTAGGGTTCAGGGCTTAGGGTTTAGGGGTTTAGTGGTTTAGGGTTTAGGGTTTAGGGTTCCCCCAACAAGCTCGCAGCCAACGCACCTCTTGGTCGCCCATTCGTTCAGCCGACTCTTGAAATTCTCCTCCAGCAGCGGCACCGGGGCCGCAGGGGCAGGGCTCGGAGACGGCGTTGCCTGGGCTCTTGCTAGCGCAATCTACATGCTATTATAGTTGATATGGTTATAACTGTCATGTTCATTGGGTTCTTGATAACCCAGTTTAGGGTTTACGGTTTGCTGGCTTGCGGGCTTAAGGGTGGGGTTTAGGGTTTAGTTGAACAAGATAAATGAGGAAAGAAAACTGCTTGCTAGATACTATGCGACAATCTTAATTTCCCATAGGGCACATACGCAGGCCTGCAAATACCTAGATAGGAACCCCATTAAGGCCCTAGTATATGCTACGTTGGTAATTACATGGAGCCCCAGGTATTTGGGAAGGACCCAGTTGCTGTGGTCTGCGCCAGGGCCGGCTTGCCATAGCTGGCGGTGCTGAGGCGCACTCCTCCGATCCGAGAAACTTTGGTGATAATATGGGGCAATGCAAAATTAGAGTAGGGCTCCTGTACAGGGCTTTTGGGAAGGTTTCTAGAGGGGCTACTCGAGGATCACTGTAAGGGTCTAGTGAAGGAGCCTTAATGATTACAATAGGTTCTCGTTTGGTTTTCGGGACTTCCAGAGGGACCTGAGTACGTAATCAGATTCGGGAATTGGAATGTTCGTAGTTTCCTTACTATAAAATAAATACATTCGGAACCCGACTCGACACCACTGCTGATTCTGCGGGCCCCTAGATAAGCTAGGGATGGAAAAAACTTATAACCCGTCTGAAAGCTCCCTAAACCCAAAACCCTGAACCCTAAAACCCAAAACCCTGAAACCGCAATCTGAAACCCGAAAGCAACACCCCGAAGTGCCTGGATTCATTGTGAAAGCCTCGCAAGCGAGCTTGTTGCCATGGACGGCCTTGCAGAAGAACGGGATTTAGGGTTCAGGGGTTTAGGGTTTAGTTTTTACCCT